TGTTATTCTCTGTTTAATTAAAAACAACGCATGTAAATGGAATTTGAATAGATTTTTAAATAATAGAAGAAAACCAAAATTCGACATGATACAAAATAAAAGTTATTATTTATTTGGAACTTGTAATTTTCTTCCAATATGGCGGTTATGTAAATAGCATAAAAAAGATAGAATGTAGAAGTATTAGTTAAAAATGTTTCTTAAGTGTTGGCTAAATAAATAAATGTGTGAATTTGAAGAGGAAAATAAACTGAACACACACACACACACACACACACACACACACACACACACGCACAGAGAGAAGAAGAAGAAGAAGAAGAAGAAGAAGAAGAAGAAGAAGAAGAAGAAGAAGAAGAAGAAGAAGAAGATGGAGGAGGAGAAGGAGGAGGAGGAATAAAAAAGAAATAAAAGAGAACAAAAAAGGAATGAAAAGATAAGGAAAGAAGGTAAAAAGAAGATAACGAAAAACGAGAGAAACAAAAAAGAAACAAGAGAAAAGAAAGTAAATAAAAGATAGAAAATAAAGAAAAGAAAACAACAAAAGAGGAGAAAACAAGAATAAAAGAAAAAAAAATTGAGATAAGAAAATTCATTTCTTTTTATGAAAATACTGGGACTTCCATTCATAAAAATTAACCACGCCGGTTCACCCAAGGCTTGATTTTTCTTTGGGGCAACCGCAAATAGATTTCTTTGTAAAATGTTTCATTTTTTTTAGGTCAGTATTTTATTTATTTAAATTCAGATCTGTTGACATAGGCAGAAAAAATATGCTATTTAACACCCCCACCTCCAAAATGACTTTGCTATATTTTAAAAAAATAATCATCATGTTTTACATTCTTTATTTTCTGGCTGAGAAGGGAATAGTTACAGTTTGTTTGTTTTTTTTTGTTTTTTTTTGGTGTTTTTTTTTTTTTTTTTTTTTACAAATCGCTTGTTTCTGTACAGAAAAAAACATTGAAAAAAAGAAAAAGAAGTGCATGAGAAAAAAAAAGAAAACTAAGATATATTTTTTAATAAATAAGTTTTGACACACCCAAAAGATAAGGTCATAAAGATTGAATAAGTTATTTATTAAGATTTATAAGAACGGCTGTGTCCTTATTAATGATTAATCAGGTGATTTTCTAGTGATTCTCAAACTTTTTCGCTCTATAAGAATTTTTTTCGCAGGACCCATTGTCAAAAGCTGCATTCATATTCCTGTGGGATTAGGGTTGTAATAGTAAAATTAAAATAAATAAATAAATAAAAAAAAAACAAGGAAAAAATAACAGTCAAGCTTCGATTAAATAAATGTGTAAAAAATATGAGAATATAGAATTATTAATTATTTTTTTTACATTTATAACATAAAGGTCCAGCTTAGCCGATAAAATCTAAAATGGAACATTGGGTGTTGTTAAAACAGACACAAAGCAAGAGTGTAGTTTTTATACTGTGAATCGATCATTTCATCCGTTTCCTCTAAAAAAAGTTACTTTTTTTCTCAAAAACAAAAAATTGCCAGATGAAATGACGATCGAATGAAGTCAGTATCATTTAATTTGGTTAATTATATTTTAAGAAAAATATTACATATTTAAAATCATATAAACGTTATATATTTATTTCCATTTCTAATAATCATGATTACAAGATGGACGAGCCTGTTGTTCAGAGAGATTTTAAATTCTTAGAAATTCAATGTAGAGACAGCCACCCTTCTTTCATTTCTCACACCAATGTTTACACAACTTAAAATGCAGCTTTAGAACTTAGAAGTTATTCTTTCATTCACATCCAAAACTCAGTTAATTCCATGTTGCAATCTTTTGTTTTCATTGTCTCAAGACGGTTCAGTAAGTTTTTCTTTCTTTGCAGACATTAAATTGATTGGGCTTGTTAATGGGTCTTGAATCCATATGAATTTTTTTGGCATATTATATTCTTGAAAATAGTTTTGAAGTCAGTTACTAAGTTTAGATAAGTGCTTTTCCAACAATGAATTTTATATCTCGATTGAAATCAACCTCATTAGATGCCACAAAATGTTACAACAATGCGGAACACCCTTTGCTACTCTTTTCATTCATTTTTCTTTTCGATCATTTTTTTCAGAAGGCTAAAATCTTTATAAATTTAACATGTGCATGGTGCATTCTTGCAGAAATTGACTTAATAGATTCAACTGTTCAAATATATCTGGTAAACACTCCAATTTGGTTTAAAACACTCTGTACCTACCATTGTATTCTGATGCCTCTCCTTCTCAAGAGTATGCGTAACGTTCTTGCCGTAATTAAAACGTATGAGGCAGCATACTGCCACAAGATGGTGATCGAGAACTGTAGTAATATAATTATTTGTCAGAAACTCTTGCAAAGTCCGAATGAAAATTGTCAAAGCGATGACTAAAAATTACGATTGTGAAATTAGTTTTTTTCATGCACCTCTTTGCCCAATTTACACATTTCTCTATGATTTTTACGTAAGCAGTCGAAGTTTGATTGTTTTCATGTTCTTTGCTAAATGACTTAAATATTTGACTCACTTTTTCTGTGTTTATATTCGCAACATTAGCTTCTTTAAATATTTTCCTGCTGGTTAATCCAATTTTCATTTTTATTGGCCTTTTAACTTTTCTCAGGTATCATTTTCCGCAGACATGAAGTGGAAAGATTATATCGAATCATTTGCTAGGTCTACTGCTAGGGAAGTTGGTTCACTGTGTTGAGCGAGACAATTTTTCTTCCTCGAATCTATCTTGCATATTTATAAGTCTACTATTCGTCCTTGTTTTGAATATTGGTGCCATATCTGGTCTTGTGCTCCTGTTGTATATCTAGAGATTCTTTATAAAATACAAAGAAGATCTGTAATGTTATTGGTCCTGATCTGGCATTTCAGCTTCAGTCGCTTTCCCACCGCTGTAACATAGCTTCCCTGTGCTTTTTCTATAAATACTTTCATGATAATTGTTCTGATGAACTTATCTCTATAGAGGAGAGGAACCTAAGTACTAGATTGATGGCAAGGTTTCATCATTTTCAGTTGGAATTACTACATTTGACTGTACAAATTTATATACATACTTAATGATTGCCGCCTCTTGTCAGAAAAACGCCATCTTTTCATTAATTATCACATGACAATGTGCACTTATTTGACTCTTCATCCCAGACTCAGTCTTGCATGTTTGTTTGCAGATGTGACATTTAAACTGTTTATCTTCCGTGTATTACGGAATGTCTGGTCACTCCACCAACTAACATATATATACTAAGCCACATGTAGAACAGATATAGTCTGGTGGGAGAAACATACTCAAAAGCAGCTTGATTCCTCCTTGGCCCATGTGACTTTAGGTGATTTACTAAACATGCACTTGAGAGAAGAAAACGCCTATCAATTACATTTCAATTCCTTTTGAACATTTTCGGGGATCGTGTTTGTGTCTTGCTTTCGGAGTAAACGCTTCAAATGAGAATGCCCTACACGCTTCAGATGAGAATGCCCTACACCAGTGGTTCTCAACCGGGGTCTACATGGACCCTAGGGGTCCATGTAATATTTCCGGGGGTCCACAGGCAAAACTCAATTGTTGTGTTAATTAAAAATAGTAATAATAATTATTATTATAATTATAGTAGAATATTTTATTTGTATTAAATTAGTTTTCATTTAAAAATAAAGCTTAATCGTATACTATTTCTTTGATAATTAAAACCTTAAAATTTATATTAGTGAAGAATAGAAAATTGTTCTTATGTCCAATAGCTATGAAGGGGTCCACCAAGATAAAAAGAAGGGGAAAGGGGTCCATGGGTAAAAAAAGGTTGAGATCCACTGCCCTACACGCTTCAAATGAGAATGCCCTACACGCTTCAGATGAGAATGCCCTACACGCTTCAAATGAGAATGCCCTACACGCTTCAGATGAGAATGCCCTACACGCTTCAAATGAGAATGCCCTACACGCTTCCATTCAAAATCACTAATCCATCACGGATGAGCTTCCTCCATGTTGCACGAGGCTTGGTTAAATTTTCCCAATTGCCCCCTTGAATTTCCAGGGCTTAAAAGTTGCTTGTACAACACCCTTAAACCGTATTTGTGGGTTATGCCACAGTCTTTACCCCTCTGGTTATCTCCCCATATAATATTTGTTCGTGTTATTGATGATAATACAGCGTTTCGGACGAGCCATTTTTCAGCCTTTGTCAAGTGTATATTCTGTAAGAAAAGAAGAAAAACCTTATTTCTACAGTAAAATGACAACTGAAGAATAGGTTTTCATTAACATACCAATCGGTTCGTCTGCATTTTTTCTGAACAAATAAGGTTTTATTTATTTTCTTATACACCTGAAGAAGACTGAAGAATGGATCGATCGAAATGTTGTGACAACTTCAAGGACACAAATAAGTTCAATTCTTAGATAAAAATTTGGAATGTTAATGACATTTTCCTAAAGAAATAAGAGAGATCAAAAAATATGTCAACGACATCAGATTCTTTAAGTTAATACGCTTGCACTTCATTTTTTCCTGAAAACTAATGAGATTTACGAAAATGTATTTTTTTCCTAACAGAGTAAACCGTCATTGTACGATAAAAAAGGGAATTAAGCAAGAATACAAAAATCGAAAGGAGGCACCGGATTTATTTAAGCGAATACATCAAGGCCACACTAAGAAAACTTGGAGTTCTACCAGGATTTATTATTGATGGGCACAATCTTAACAACATGACACACGCATATGACAATGTTGATTGCAACCACAGAAAGAAAACTGCAGAAAAATTAAAATAAGGACGAGACTTTGTATCAATTTTTGGTCAGTGAACTCAAAAATACCAGAGTCCGTTGAAATAAATCTGCACCAAGCCATTCTCTTTACGCAGTGAGATAAATGAATTGTCTCGAGATAAAAAAAAATCATTGACTACCTAAACTCTACGTTAGCTTCTGAGTCAATAACCTTGTACTCTGTATTCTCCCGTAAACGGGCTTATGGCCGTATCACGTTGAAACACCGGTTCTCCTACGATCACCGAAGTTAAGCAACGTCGAGCATGGTCAATACCTAGATAAGTGAGCGCTTGGGAACGCCAGATTCTGTAAGCTCGGATGTGTGGATGGACAACGATTCGAAATTGGAAATCGGAGAGCCGAGTTCCAATTACAGTCGAGTTTGTTATATTCACTTACGGGCAAGGACACTTGGGTACGAATCCAAATCTCCCCCAGTTATGGGTTAATTAGTAGGACTTGTACCAGTAAATTATTATTATCTCAAAAATATTCTGACAATCTAAAAATATTTTCTAGCTTTAAGTAACCTGCAAAGGGTTAATAAGCCATAAAAAACAAATCAATTTCCTGTAAGCTATGTTGTTTTCTTTTTTTTTTACAGTGATGTTCACCTTGTACAAGGCCAAATAGCCACTAGAGTTAGAAGGTTACAGAGTAAAAGAGGTACATTTTATGTGGATAGGGTAGGGAAGATAACGGTTAACCATAGGCATGAACAGGTTAATATTTTAGTGATTGGGAAAACATCCTCTTGTTTCACAGAGAAGCGATTCGCGGGAAGAAACTGCTCGGGTGGGACTCATATGTTACTAATGAAATACGAAGGGAATGAGGATGGTTCGCTACAATAGGCGTAGCCTGGCGAATCTTAGCCGTAAAGGTTTGGACTGGTGGAACACAGGAATGTATTTCGACTCAACACTTTCCATGGAAATAACGAGAGAGCAACGAAAGACTTGTAACGTTTTGTCTGTGAGAAAGCGATTGCAGAGTGGAAAATATTTCGTCACTCACAAGGACGTGGAAAAGTTTTTTACTCTATCATCTAGAGTAGGAAGCAAAAACTAGGCGGTCCCTATCCATTTATGGCAGCAGTATTCCATTTTCAACCTGGTCTGGCTCTTGTAAAGTTAGAGGATAGCAGAAGGAGTCTGGTACTTACTGAAGAGTTACAAGAAACCGACAATTTTTCCAGCAATTTTAGCGATGAACCATATATACTAGTTTCACTCGAAGTCTGAACTGAGTTTAAGGCCCAATAGGTGCTCAAGACACGGGGTCTCCTTGAGGATACATTCATTCATCGTGGTTAGGGATAATTCAGGGTCCAATCGGCGGTGATGGATGCAACTAGTTTGGTTTTCGGGGCATTGAATGTAACCAGTCAGTTTCCCCCTACTGAAATGTTAGAGCTAGATCAGGGAAGAGATTAGCTGCCAAACTTTGGTCATGCAAAGTTTGGTAGGTGCAACCATATAGCGTAGATATTCACAAATGATCGCAGATCCTTCACTTACGTAAAATAGAAAGAGGATTAATCTTAGAAACGACTCCTAGGCGACTCTTGCTACGGCCTACGGATTCTGGCTATTAACAATTACCGTTAGGAAGGACATTATAATAGAGAAGACTCTTCCAGTGATTCCATAACTAGAGAACTTGTGCAGCAATCCTTTATGCCATACCTTGTCTTTGAGATGTATTTGTTGTCTAGTGCCTCACTGATTCTGTGAATAACGGTAGGTAGGACATCAGCAATGGATTGGGCCGATTGAAACTCGTACTGCTTGTCCCTCCTTGTTGTTCCTATTTAGCTGATCAACAGCCTTCCTGTTGATTATGGCCTCAAAAATGTAATGGCATTTCTTAAAATATATTAACTTTTTCTACGACAGACACATGTCCATTTCTACGAACATTTCAAATAATAAAACATGAAAAGATACAGCCACAGAAACGTGTAAAAATATAAATAAATTACAATTTTAAATTTTAATACAATTACTGGAAGTTTATTTGCTATATTAATATTTGTGACTCTGACAAATTACCAACGCTGCTATAAAAAATAAGCAGATGTAAAAAGCAGTAAAAGCTCTTCGTTCAAAATAAGTGAAATACGAAAACGCAGAAAGACAAAGAATGCAACAAGAAAAATAAAAACAAAATGAAAAAAAAAACTATAAAATGTTTTCAGTCTGCTTCATATTTTTGCTTACGTGAAAGGTAGCCAGGAGACCTGGCGCTTGCTTGTCAAAGGCGTGACTCAAAGAAAAAAAAGGACAAAGATGGGAAAATTAATATTGATCACAATCGTACAAGATCAAGAGAGTGGAAACATTTTGAGTGGAAGAAAAACAACAAAGTAGACATTGCTAGGTATGAAAAAGAAACAATAAAGAAAAAGGAATTTATCACGTGAATGTATAATGTCTGCAAATATGTAAAGATATGATTGTTTCTTGTGGTTTTAAACTGGAAAGAAAGGTTTTCAGTTACAATTGCACAGGAAAAGGTAATATCAATATACAGCCATTTGAAAACTAAGTCAGACTGAATAAAATTTGCAAAGGTTCCAGTATACAGTGTATAGGAAAATTGCGAAAAATAGTTATTTTAAGAACTAGCCAAATACCCATTCTACGAATAAGAGAAAGTTGTTATGGAATTATGAATTTATCTAAATAAGTCATAATTATGTCTTTAAGTAGATTTTCGTAAAATTGTACTAGATTATTTAAACAAGTGAAAATTTAAAAAAAAATAATTTGTATTATTATTAATGCAAACATTAAAAGATGTAGACTCATGGTCAGCTCTGTGTAACTATGTCCAGAATAGGAAATTCAAGTGAACTTTGCATAATGACATAAAGAACTTTAGCAAATAGATGTCTTGATGAGAATGTTGTATTTAAAGAAATGTTAAAAAGGTAAGAGAACTTTTATAACAACTTTACTCTGCTTATAGAATGGATATTTTGCTAGTTCAGTTAGAATTATTTTTCGTAAAAAATCATGTGAACTTTTATTAGCGCATTTCTTACTTGTGCACCCCCCACCAAGACTGTAACGAAAACTGTAAAGGATTTAATTAGTGTTATTATGAAATTTGTCACGGCGACTTCAAAAAGCAATGAACTAACACAAAACAAAATATGGACAACATTAAATCCTGAAGCGAGAATATCTCGGTTTCACTCGGTTTATAAGTAAATTTTCTACTTAAAAAAAAAAAAACACGAACGAATTTTTTGGCCAACCCAATAGAAAATAGATTGTAATAAGTGTGTAACGATTTTTAGTAATAGAGTAAATAAAATGGAAATAATACAAAAGGAATGAATGAGAGTTGTTTGTGTGGAAATGTCCTTTTTCATATTTACGTGTGTGCAAGATCTCATGAAAGAGTAGAGTTTTTGTTTGATAGATTTATTAGATATGCTTATAACCTTGTTCAGTGAGACACGTGGTTTTCTGGGGACTGAAAAGTCTCCTAGAAGGGAAACGAGATACGTATTGTCTCTAAGACATTCTGGGGCATCCTAAGAATCCTACGGCTAAAAGAGAAAGAGAGCGTAAAAGAGAGACAGAAAGCGTGTGTGCGCGCGCGTGCGTTTGTGTGTGTATGTGTGCGTGTGAGAGAAAGAGAGAGAGACTTTGCACTTTTTCTTAAATACTGCTTTAGGCAACGTTGTCTAGCGATCTTTAGCAAAAATTCTTTGGCAACCAAGTGGAGTAATCCCATGAATGATATATATATATGAATGAAATATATATATATATATATATATATATATATATATATATATATATATATATATATATATATTGATATCTAGAAATTTAAATAAAAGTAAAACGGATGTTTTCACGAAAGAATATGCTCAGTGCATTCGTTGTTTATTGTAATAAGTCTGACCATCATTTCGCCTCATGGAATGCCGTTTTGATTAAAAGAGAAAGTAATTTATTAAGCGAAAATGTATTGAAAGTGCACTAATTACGGAATCATCTACGGTAAATGGACGTCTATGATCGACCAACATGTTCCCTTTCATTACAAAATTGCAATTAACAAAATACAGGGGACTTAAAAAGAAAAACAATGAAAATAAAAGTGATAAAAAACTGAATGAGATACACTAAATTTAAAACTTAAATACACTGGAGGTCAAAATTTTAATTTTATTTCCGTATCTTTAACGTTTCGATATAAACTGTAACCAGTGTTTGTTGTACCTACTTTTCTCTCTCATATATATATATATATATATATATATATATATATATATATATATATATATATATATATATATATATATATATATATATTGTGGCAATAATAATAATAATAATAAAGAGGAATAAAACTAAAATTAAAGAAATATTTAAAAGAATAATAAAAATGCATGCAGAAATATTTAAAATAAAAAGTTCTCCCATTAATAGCAACGGAAAAAAATAAAAGTTTAAGTGTTCCCCGCTTCTTTTTCTTTCTCTCTCTCTTTTTTGTCTATTACACCGAGGTTGACTTCGTCTGTAAAATCCATGAATCGAAAAGTCAACGACCAATAAATCCGCATTTTCCTGTACATCTTATAAACACCTATCTGCATTGTTTCAAAGCCTTGAACTTTGCCTATGAGTTGAAATATCATAAATACCCTAAACTTTCTAAATGTCACACATAATCTAAATATAAACGAGAGAAAAACGGGCAATCTTCTCCTGTTGCATGGCTCCCTTTGCACATAGACGTGAGATCATAATGGTTCACTACAACCATTCCATTTCGTTATTGACTCAGAACAATATAAATTTCCTTCTAGTTCCCGAACTAACAGTAAAAATGTCCAAATATTTGTTTGTTATTAGTAATTCTTGTACTGGTTAACTTATGAAATATTTATACGACTAATCAAATATATGCTGCTTCTTCTAAATCGCGTACAGCCCACGAGAACCACCTTGTCTCTCCAGTTGTTACGGTCTTGGCATAGTGCCGAAACAACCTCCAGTGCCACATTGATCTGCTGGAAGTCCTGATGGACGACGTCCTTCAAATGTCCGCGTAGTGCGCATTGAGGACGACGTCAGTCCGCAAATGGCAGGTCGAACTGGTAGATGAGTTTGGTAGAGTCAATGGGCCATCGCAGTGCGTGACTGAGCCAACGAACACAGCGCTGAGCGATGGTGGATGTGGAGGATATTCGAACGGCCGGCCGTTTATCCGGCGGAGTTCCTCATTGGACGCATGATCTGACCAGTGCACCCCACTTAATGGTCCCCAGGAATAAATGTAACAA